CCCCCCCCCCCACAAGACAGGCTTGACAGAATCCTGGTGCACACCCAGAGGAGCTACAGTGCTTGAAGCTCTGCATTTCCAGCAACTCAGGAGACGCGGATGTGGCTGGTCCATAAGGAACCTAAGTTCTGGCAAGCTGATGTAACTGCTAACACCTCAGTGCTACACCCAGGACCTTCAGATTCTGGGCTGGCACCTACCTCCGTGTCCCAGCTGAGGTACCACTTAACAGTGACATGGTCAGGCAGAGCTGGGCGCTCACCCAGAGATATCCCTGCTCAGGCCATATTCTAACCCCAGCATCTGTTTCCCAGGCCTCTGCTCTTGGTACCCTACCCTACTCCTTCAAGAACCATAACAGAGGGTCAGGAGAGGGCTCAGGGGATAAAGGTACTTACTACTGGGCAAGCACGATGACTTGAGTTTGATTCCTGGAACCCACGTGAAAAGCTGGCTCTGAAGGGCCAGCTAGTCTATAGTGAGCCATGCAGCAGCACAGCAAGAGAGACCCTGCCTCAGCAAGGTGGAAAGTGAGAACCGACTCCTAAAGTTGTTCCCTCCCCACCACACACACACACACACACACACACACACACACACACACACACACACATGTTGTAGCATACGCACCAACTCCCTGGCTCTTTCTTTTTTTCCAAGACAGGCTTTCCCTGTACAACAGCCCTCAGAGTGAGTGGAACTCACTCTGTAGACCAGGCTGGCCTTGAACTCACAGAGATCCGCCTGCCTCTGCCTCCCGAGTGCTAGGATTAAAGGCATGTGCCACTACACCTGGCAGACCCCATGACTCTTAATTAATTAAAAAAGAACCACAATAAAAAGACCACGGAGAGGTTCCAGGAAGAGACTCTGAGGAAACAGTTACTTAGGAATCAGCTGCCTGTAGACTCCACCAGGAGGCTGGGTGACCAGATTTAGTTGATAAGTGATAAGTGCCCTTATCACTCTGAATTTAGTTATAGCAATAAGTGCCGCCTCCTGACCAGCTAGGCTCTGAGACAGCTGGAGAAGCTTCCCTGGACATGCCCGGTGGCTGGGAGGCCAAAGCAACATTAAAGTAAGGCAGGTGTCAGTGGAGCTGGGGGTGCAGAGTGGAACCCTGCAGAGAGCAGGGCTGTGGAAGGGACATAGTTGATAAAGAGAACCTAAGTTTAGATCCCAGCACCCACATAAAAGCTAGACAAGCTAGCATGCACCTCTAACTCCAGGGCTGGGGACAGGCACAGGAGCATCTTGAGGGCTCACTGACCAGTCAGACCAGTCAAACCAAGGAGCCTCCGGTTCAGAAGGGACCCTTTCTCAAAAAGGTGAAGAGAGAATAAAGAAGATACCCAACTTCAGCCTCTGGTCTCTGCATACACAGGCATAAATAGGCAGACCGGACCCAGCTATACACACACACACACACACACACACACACACGAATGCAGAGTGGCTATGGGAGTAGATCAACAGTAAGGCACTTGCCTAGCATGTATGAGGCCTGGACATGCTATCTCTGTGTTGGCTTGAATGACAATGGCCTCATAGGCTAATACATTTAAATGTTTAGTCCCCAGTTGGTAGAACTGTTTGGGAAGAACTAGGAGGCACGGCCTTGACAGAAGAGGTGTGTCGTTCAGACACCCACACCATTCCCATTACCCCTCTCTGCCTTGTGCTTATGGATCAAGACATAAATGCTCAGATCTCGTGCCCTGCCTGTCTGTCTGCTGCCATGCTCCTCATCACGGTTGTCATGGATTCTTCCTCTAAAACTGTAAGTCCTAAATACATGTTTTATTTTATAAGTTGCCTTGGATATGATGTCTCTTCACAATAGAAAAGTAACTAAGACAATCCTCAATACCCTTAGGAAAAATGAATACACGGAGAAAATTCTGAAATGACATATGTCAACAACTAACAGAGCTTATTTGTTTCTCTGCAGTGTCCTCTGCCTGTGTAGCAATAAGGGCACAGCCCGTGCCATACAGGCGACTGCAGACACCATGGTAGACAGTTTCTTATCTGCTTCCTTGGTCCCCATGAGGCCTAGGCAGAGCCACTCATGAAGTGAGAAAATGAAGGGGAAATGGATGAATTGGCTACTCTGAGTCTGTGTTCTAGCACCACCAGGATAAGCAGAGAACATGGGCCTGGCCAGGCTGTAGATCACTCCCTCTATGACACCCTTGGTGCTGGTATCCCACCTAAGAGTTGTCAATATGCTGCTTCCCAGACAGTCCAGGCAGCCTGTAGGTATGTGACCTGTTGCTCCAGGGAACAGGCATTAGTTTGTCTGGGTTATTAGAGTCCAGGACTGGGAAGTCTTTACCTATTATTCCTGAGGACCATGTACTTGTGAGTTAAGCACTCTACCTAAGCTAAGTTCCCAACCCCCAGGACTGAAACTTCTTAAAACCTCACAATGTGACTCTATAGGCAGCCTAGGATGGCCAAGAGACACCACAGTTAGGGTAGGCCTACAGTAGGAATCAGGTCCCTGGGACTCGACAGCAGGCTAGTATCCTTAGAAGGCCTACCCTGCATTCCAAAGAAGGATTAATCCCCTTCCCAAAGAGGGTCCACCCTCTATTCCACAGAGGGTCTACTACCCTCCATCCCACAGAGGGTGCACCCTCCATCCCAAAGAGGGTCTACTACCCTCCATCCCACAAAGGACCTACCCTCCATCCCACAGAGGGTGCACCCTCCATCCCACAGAGGGTCCACCCTCCATCCCACAAAGGACCTACCCTCCAGAGAAAATCTTCTCTACGTAGCTGCGCATGAACTCTCGAAGTGCCAGGGTCTCCTCGTCTGGGGCTGAATCAGCGCTCTGATTGGAGGAGAAGGACTCATTGGAGGAAGAGCGGCGGTCTTGGTCCCAGGACGGGTGTGAGGGTGACTCGCCCATGTCATTCTCACTGTCTGCAGACTCCGTGGTCTCACTCTCAGATGCACCGTCACCCAAGGAGCCATCTGGGTCCTGGAGTGTCGAAGGTGCTGCCTCCAGGGGAGGGGAGGTAGGTGGTTCAGTCCCAAAGTCAATCAGGGAGCCCACAGGGACTTCTGGGGCCTCCATGGTAGCCGGGCTGCCAAACAGGAGGGGCACAGGCTGAGGAGCAGTTTCCTGAAGCTGCACACACCCACCAGTGTGTTGGGAGCCTCTGGCCACCAAGGCTGAGTCTCTAGCAGCTCAGCCTAGAAGCCTTATGGCATCTGGAATGGAAACAGACATAAACACTGTCACTGTGAGAAGGCAGTCCCCCAATGAAAGTCACTGATCACAAATTAACTTGAGGAAGCCATGAGTCACATTTTTCCTGTGCTGATCATCATCTCTGTACCTACAGGATCTGGGATGCCACCAGCCAGAGTCTGTTTCCTATGCCCGCTTTGCTGCCATGTGGTAGCATGCCATTGGCACTTGCTAACTGAAGGAGCCCCAGGGACACCAGCGTCAGTATCCCTCCCATCTAAGCAGCACACCACATCTCCACAAACTCCAGCCAACCAAATCAGAACATAATGACGCCCATTTTCACTGGCGGCATGCATCCACCAGGCACAATGCTCCCATGGGTTCACTGACCTCAGTAGCTGTGCAAGTGGCACCCTGCTAAGCAGCAGCCCCTTCGCCTTCAGAGACCCTTTCTCTTCAGTCTTCCCTCTGCCCAGGCCTCTTGCTGCTCCTCAGTCTCTGCGGTTCTACCCTGCTCTTCCCCTTTTCTGTGCTGCAGCTGCCTGGATATCAATGGGAAGTCACCTCCTGCACACTGATCATGAAGCCTGGCGTTCTTCCTCTTCCTCTCCCTTCTCCTTTGCTCATCTCTCCTTTGTCTCCTTCCCTCTCTCCCTCCCTATCCCCACTGCAGAATTCTGTTCACCCTCAAGGCCAGGCTCACATGTCCATCTTTTGAGAGGCTTCAATCCACAGCAATTCAAAATCAATTACGGTCCCTGCTGACCTGGCACTAGCCTTTCATCTAGACTCATGTGCGAGCCAGAGCAGATTCTACTGAGCATCTGGTACATGAATGAGCACACCTCACTGGGAACACACTCGTGGAGCTGAGAGGGCATGAGAACCCTGTTTCTGGCACTGGCTCAGGATGTATTTGCCATTCTGGAAGCCCTTCCTACCAATACCAAGGGGCAGCAGCCGAACAGCAAAAGCCTGTGACAGCCATGCTCAGTGGTGGAGGAAACATCCTCACCCTGGCTCTGGCCTATTAGACAAGATACCTAGGAGGCTACTGCAGGGGGCAGGACCGCCATCTGTACTGCTGAGATGATTGCATCTTTGGGGGAAATGCAGTTCAAACCCACACATGCTGACTCCTGAGAGCTTAACACTCACAGGTTGATCATAGTTCCCTCCAAACGCCCAGTCCAAGGTATTTTTAGATCCTCTGAGTCAGAAAGATGGAACAGCTGGCTCTGGTCACCATCCTCATGCACACATGCACAGGGGCAGTGGTACACGTGCGGCAGAGCCTATAAAACCTGCTTCTGTGCAGGGGAGACTCACAAACCTTGGCTCTGACAGTAGCAAGGGCCCACAAGGTCAGAGGACAGTGAGTGGCAGCTCAGAAAGAGGGGCACTAGGACTCCCTCTCCTAGTAACATCTGCTGCCTGTGGCTCTGCTTTCTGGGGAGGTCTCCCTATGTGAGACAGCAAGACTGAGTTAGATGTCAAAGGGCCATGTGGAACCACACTCCTACTCTCCAAAGGACAGAAAGCCATGCACACGGGCCCATGTTTGTGGATACCCATTTGAAACACACAAGGAAAGCATTTAGAATGACCAGGGCAGGGACACTGTTAATTCTACCACATTTATAGATTCATGCACCGCTAACCAAAACCTTGATTCTCACTAATATACAGATCACTGAGGAGAACACACAAGAGGAAGTACAGTCACTAAACGCTTGGACAAGTCGCAATCCATACTAATCACCACACAGATATATGCAAAATTTCCAGGTGTGCTGGCTCATGCCTGTAATCCCAGGTAGAGATGGGAAGATCCAGAGTTCGAGGCCATCCTACTGACAAAGTGAGTTTGAGGACACTACATTTGACCCTGTCTCAATTTTTTTTAAAAACACACAGAACATTTATAAACTGAGTTACAAAAATTTTAAAATTACAGCTGGGCAGTAGTGGTGTATGCCTTTAATCCTAGCACTCTGAGTCAGAGCAGGGGGATCTCTGTGAGTTTGAGGCCAGCCTGGTCTATAGAGTTCCAGGATAGACTCCAAAGCTACAGAGAAACCCTGTCCTGAAACCCCCCCCCCAAAAAATCAATCCCCCGCAAACCTACAATCCAGTACACCTTTAATTCCAGCACTTGGGAGGCAGAGGCAGGTAGATCTTTGGGTTTGAGGCTATCCTCATCTACAGAGTGAGTTCCAGAATAACCAGGGTTACCCAGGGAAATCCTGTCTGAAAAATAAAACAAAACAAATAAACAAACAAATAACCTAAAACCAAAACAAAAACCTTACAATCCAAATATCACCACAGTTCTAGCAAAAATGACACATTTTCCATCTTCCTGGCAGCAAGGGCAGACGTAGCTTCAGAAATTTCATGCCTGTCACTTCTCCCATTAAAGAATTTGAATGCTTCGAATTTATCCTCAGGAAAGAATTCAAACCATCAAAATCAGTGACACAGAAAAAAAAAGTCACTACATAGTATCTGTGACTCTGACAAACAGGCGCCTATGTACAGTGAGTGGAGAAGTAATAGCATGGACATCACAGCAGCCTCTGACTAAGGCAGTGAGGACAGAGTCAAGAGTTGCGGGAAGTGTTCTCCTGTGCACCATCCCAGTTGGGGCACTGGGAACATAGGAATGAAAGGGAGTCATATGGGAATGGGCTGCAGACATGCACAGCACTGGTTACAGCATGACGCTGAGTCCAGGTCCCCTCTTCAGTCGATTTTCATGCCAATGACCCGTGAGCCATGGAAACCAGTCTAAGGGAACAGAAGAGCCACGTGGGCCTGCCAGCACAGGAGGGCTACTTCTGATCCAATATGGAGCTCACTGGGCTGGCAAGGTAAATAAGTCACCCTTTCCCAGAGGACAGAGCTAACCTCTGCCTCTCCGGGTTCAGGATTGTGTCTTAGTCATTGTTCTATTGCTGGGAAGAGACACTATGACCATGGCAACTTTTATAAAGGAAAGTCTTTAGCAGGGGCTTGCTTGCAGCCTTAGAGGTTTAGTTCATTATCAGCATGGCGGGAAGCATGGCAGCATGTGGGCAGACATGGTACTAGAGAGGAGCTGAGGGTTCTACATCTGGATCCACAGACAGCAGGAAAAGAGAGAGATACTCGACCTGACTTGAGCATTTGAAACCTCAAAGTTCATTCCCAATAACATACTTCTTCCAATAAGGCCACACCTATTCTAACAAAACTATACCTCCTAATCCTTTCAAAAAGTGCCACTTCCTATGAACCTATGGGGACTATTTCTATTCCTATCACCACAGATGGTGACAAAAATCACAATCCAGAGACAAGGTGAGAGGAATCAGAGGGAGCAGATGCTGGTCCTTAGCCTTGTGCACGGCAACAGGTCAGTGTCCCTGCCTCTGAGGATGCTCAGTATCATGGTCTCATCCTCCCAGAACAACAGGTCAGCTGGCCAACCCTACATAAAGAGCCAGGATGTCCTGGTGAGGTGGTGTGTATCATAAGGACCTGGACACCAGCTCCCAGCCTGCTCCTCAGGAAGGCAACACAGCTATAGGCTTCCAGGTGAGAAGGTGTTGGCCACTGTACCTTTCATGCTAACCTCAGGAAAAGGTCTGGGATGGCCGGAGGACATAGAACTGACACTGTCTCTGCTTGGGGCCAGCTAGGGGCTTCCATTAAGAAGCACAGGTCTGGCAGTATCAGAGTTTCTAGAGTTTTCAAGGCATGCTGAAATCTTCTATCTGGACTCTTCTAATTTTTCAATAGTGGCAATTTAAATTCATTTCAAAGCACTTTGTGAGCCCTAAATCTGTAGATTGCACTTCAGTCTATTGGAGGGGGCTCCAAGAGGCCCTGGTGGTGTCCAGTCTAAGACACTGGCTTTCCGTCTCAGGACTCTGCTCCACAGTGCGGGCTTCCTCAGGCTTCCGGAAGAGCTACCTGTCTCCCTGCACTTTCTGGCTCATGGTCAAGATGCTGCTAAGTAACTGTGACTTCCACACTCGGGTGAGATTCCTTCATGCCACAAGTCTCATTGATGGGACTGTGTGTGAATCAACCACTGTGTGGGGAGATGGAGGCACAGTCAAGAGCAAGAGTGTTCACAAAGTACAAGATCCAGGGAGAGAAAAATAGAGACAGCTCAGTTGGCAAAGTGCTAGCCACACAAGCACAAGACCCTACGCTTGATCCCCTACACCCATGTGAACACAAACAAGCCTTGTGCAACAATGAGCACTTGAGATTTCAACACCGAGGATATGAAAACAGGCGGAGTCCTGTAGGTCACTGGCTGGCCAACCTGCCTTGCCAAATCTGCTCCAGGCTCAGCAAGAGACCCCATTTCAAAAAACAAGGTGCCAGATGGATAAAAGAATGCTATGACTGCTTCGTGGTATGGTTAAGGGGAAGGTTTTTATTGTGGATATGAGAGCGAGGACAGCCAGAGGCATCTGGAAGGGTCCAGATAAAGCAGTAGACTGAACATGGCCAGCAGACTGGACCTGACCACGAGAAAAGCAGGAAGAGAGCAGAGTGATGGGGGTGGGGGAAGGAGAACTATGGGGAGGGTGAGAGGTGAAGACAAAGAGAAGAGATCACAGTCAAAATAACAGGGTTATAAGGAGGATGAGTAGCTGGGGGAGGGAAGCCTGTGAGCAAGGGAAGTTTAAGGAAGGGGAGGAAGTGAGAACAGCTGTGTCAGCTCTGGACCCGACACAGAACAAATGAGAAAGTCATCTGACATTGACCTCTGACTCCATGCACACATGCAAAAGTGCACATGCATGTGCGTGCACACCCCTCCCCCACACACGAACAAGTACGCACACTACTGAGATGTTCTCAGGTAATGCCCCAAACAGTTCTGCTAGGTCTGGGAAGGAGACCTGGACCTCAGAAACCAGTACCACACACAAGTCCTAAGGTGACCATTGCCTAGGAGGCCCTGGCAGTTGCTGGGCAGCCGCTCATGGGAAAAGCAGACCAGGCAAGCTTTCCTGGCTACGTAAGTTCTGAATGGGCCATAGGAAGTCTGGGAGGAAAGTAAGTACAGACCAGGGAGGCAGAGCTGAACAGGCAGACCCTGGGAGGCAGCTGTGGCATCAGCATTCTGAGGGTAGGGAAGGCACCCTAACTTCCTCCCTGGATTCCTCCCAGCCCTACCTTTGCCTCAACCCTTCCCAGCAGGCTTCGGGAGGAACTATGGTTAAGACCGCCTGCTATTGCACTTAGCCACATCCCCTGAACTTTGCTCAAACTCTGATTTTCCCAACACACCACCCGAGTGAGAGGGCTGGGACTTCCCTAGAAGGAAACTTTGAGCAAAAAGGGTACGTGTGCATGCAGTGTATGTGTGTGGACAGCATGTTCTGGTCTCCCGGTAGCCTAGCCCTTGCATGAACAGGACACAGCACCATGCTTGCATGTATCTGCTTTACCTCTTGTCCTAAAACTGACAAGAGTGGGGGCTAGGAGGGGTCTGGCGAGACTGCGTCGTGGTTCTGGGTTATGAAGGT